CAAAAGGAACATGAACGGCATGGTTGAAGATCGTGATTTTACTTGACTTAAAACACCCTCAGCTAACAAAGTGAAAGGAAAAACAAGGTTTAGCACAACGAACATGAAATCGGCGGAACGACAACATATCGAAACCACCATGGTCAAAGCGATTCGCACCGAAATCAAGTTTCTTTGTGAGCAAAAGATCTCTTCTTGCTCAACTCGATTTCTTTCCATGTTTGTTTGTTTGTTTATAGTTCACCCTCTCTTAGATTCACTTCCCTCTGCAACGATTCTCCTTGTTCTACTAGATCTCTCTCTGTTTCGAATTTTGTTCGGGAATGACTTTGGGTTTGTGGTTGTTTGTGTTATAAGTTGATCAAGATAATGTTTAGGTTTGTGATTGTGGATTTGAATAAGAATTGGAGGTTGAGTCAGAGTGAACGAAGATTCCTCGATGGTTGAAAGACGGTTTCATGGAAGTTTGAAGAAGGGTTTAGGGACGGTTTTTGAAGGGTTTGAGTTAGGATGTGTTAACGGGATTTTGAGCAGAGCACTCTTGGTTCCTAGCACCTTTTTAGAAGAGTAAAAGGGGTTGGTTTTTATAGGTGAGATTGAAGGGTAGAAGGGGAAGAATGTTGAAGGAGTTGGTGATTTGGCAAAAGTTGTTGCGGAGTGGATTAATTGCTATCAATGCAGGAAGGAGTGTTGGCCGCGTAACATTCGGGCGATTTGCATTGTGTACAGAAATTGTTGACGTCGCCGTTTTGTTACAGATTCTGCGCTATACGGTTGTGTGTTTCCTTTTGTAAATTTGTGAATTGTTTTCTCTGTTTCTGCTAGCTAATGGGTGCGTGAGGTTGCGTGTTTCTCGCGTTATTATTTGGCATGTCTTGGTGTATTGAATATCCTGTGATGTATTTGAAATTTGCAATTTGTTTTGGTTCGTATTTGCTTAAGTCTTGCTTGTGCCTCTGCAGCGTTTGGAATGTGCAGTACCACGTCTTGGTGTGCTTGAAGTGGCTTCATGAAATTTGTTCTGTCTATGCTAATACGGTGCGCTGACGTTGCGGAAATGTTCATGAGGAAAAGCTTCGCGTGGTACTGAAGGATATTAGTGGCTTATAGTAATGTCATTCCATGGGCTTTAGGTAGATTATGTGACCAATTTAATGTTCCTCCCTTTTTTAATGCCTTTTCTTATTAGTGGAATAGTAGTTTAACAAAGAGAAGACTCTAGTAATGGGCTCAAGAGAACATGATGGGCTTTCACATGAGCTTTTTGAAGTTTCCTATTTCTTGCATTTTGTTATCATGGACTTTGGTTGGAACTTTTTTTGTGAGAACATGTTATATGGGCTTTTGAAAAAAAAAGTAATAGACTTGATAATTTTGCACGTACTGAATCTTGACTTCTATGCTCGATAACATGCTCGAAACCTTGAATCGAAATAAATCTTCCACTTGAATCAAAGCCAATCTTGAATCACTTATGGAGAAATCCATAATTCCATTTTGGCCTTGAATAAATTGAAAAATTTTGAACCACAATAAATTCACATTCGAACTTGATATTAAATAGAGAACGGAATCGTCTTGAACTATTGTCATGGACTATAAACGAAATACAATTTTCCCTGTGAACCAAATTCTCAAAGCTTTGACACCAGAGGATGATGACTTGATATGTGCACTTCAATACATCGAAGAGAAACCCTAATTGGAAATACTCTGGATCTTGATGACTCTCAATCATGAAGTGTTTGACTTGATACAAACTGATAACTCGAACTATACACCAAGCGACTTGAATAGTCACAAGAACCCTAACTGCATCCTTAAGCACACACCACTTGCGTCATACATACCCTGACCTGATGAATCTCAGCTGCAATTTAATTTGATTCAATTCAACCTTGAGATAGATACAACACACTTTTTTTTTTCTGGATGATAGTTAGTGGACAGATGTACATAATAAAAGTTATACACAAGTAGGTCAAATTTGGGGTATGATACATGCATATTGTACTGATTATGTATGAACAATGTTCTGTGTGAGTCCGGATATGCATCTCCTGACACACCCCGTTTTAATTATAAAAAAAAGAACGAAACAGAGGATTTTATGGATGTGCATCTCCGTAAAAAACCTTATTTTATAAATTAAAAAAAAAAAAAAAAAATAGTGTGTGTCCAGATATGTATATTTAAAATATACCCTAATGAAAGGATATTGTTTCGAAGGTTCAAATTGATCTAAAAGATATATAAATAAGGGGTTTCTCATTCCATATTCTGTACAAAAACACAACAAACCAGAATAAATACATATCTAGAAATGACAAACAAACCCGGACCCGTCGGCACCCGCCCGGCCTTGCCCCAAAATTAACAAAGAAAACCCAATTTAATTGGGTGTGGATGCGGGTGCGGGGGAAACCTGATTCTTAACGAAAGGTGCGGGTGTAGGAAGACACTAAGACTCGCCCCCGCCCTACCTCCGGATAATGCATTTAATTTAATTTCTTTATTTTACTTATTTTAATATTTATTTATTAATTATATTTTTAATTAAATTATTAATGCCCTTATTACAATTAAAATAATTAAATTAATCAAGTTAATATTTATTTATTAATTAAATTTTTAATTAAATAATTAATTAATTTATTAAAATAATAAATTTTTTAATTAAATTATTAATGTTTATTGCAATTAAAAAGAAATTATCTTTTGCGGTGCACCCGTTCTCCACTGGGGGCGGGTCTGGGCGGTAAATTTTTATCCCGGTTGGATTTGGGGGCGGGAAGGGATGTGTTACATGGAGGTGGGTGCGGGTATAGTTAAACCCACCTCCACCCCGCCCCGTTGTCATCCATATACATATCCTCATCTTACTTTTTTGAATTAAAGACAGTGAGGATTTAAAGTTTATATGAAGTACATTTTATCGTTACTCAACAAAAGGTCTAATTGAAGTGAACGTGACAATTGCAAGATTAACCGAAGATATTCTAAAGATGTTTCAAAGTCCTAAATCACCCTTTTGTAATAAAATATAATGTTAAATTTATGTTAAGGATTATCTATGTATTGTTAAGTATTTTTTATGTTAATTCATCTTGTTTTTCTAACATTCTGCCATTGTTTTGGGTTATTTATAGTTTAACCTAACAAATCATATTTTAGAGATGTATCTCTAGAAAACTCACTGAATATTGAATTAAAGGTTGTTACTAAGATGTATCTTCAGACTCAATCTAATGTTGATACAGAGCTGCAACGATTGTGAAAAAGATACGTTCGGATATGCATCTCCAATTTTAAAGACAGTTGTGACTTTTTACCTTGGTGGAAAAACACTCCATAGAGTGGAACAAGTACTGCCCTTTTATTTTTGTATTCTCGTGGAATGAGTCCCAAATAACTTCTATTAGCATCGGAAATCTTCACAAGCTTCACAATCTTCTAAGCACCTGTTTCAACCTTCACGTGAGAGAATTCTCTATTTTGGAAAAATGACGGATCCTTCTATTTTTCAAAGAGAAAATTTTTTATTGTATCTTAAATGTTTCTTAGTCACCATGCGAAATTTTAAAAATATTTTTAATTTCTAAAGATACATCTTCGGATGTACCCCAATACATACATTTTATTCGTTTTTTAAATATAACCTCAATTTTGTGAATAAAATTATTTCAAAAATACATAAAATTAAATGTATTTTCAAAAACTAAAAAAAACAGGCACCAGCACCTACCCCTTACCTTAAATCATAAATACTGATAATGATGCCTACTCTGCACTATATGATTCCTTTTGTAAAAGGGTTTGGAAGGAAGGGAAATTAAGAAAGAAATGGTACGTTTGGACAAACAAAGAAATAAGTTTAATCTAACATAAACAACAAACTGCAAAGGTAAAATAAGTTTAATCTATAAACAACAAACTGCAAAGGTTTGCATAGTAGACCCATATCGAAGATGAACTTCACATTTCTAGGAATATACATTCATATTGAAATAAATCATGTTTGAAAAATGGGATTTACAGGTGAGGGAAATTAAAATTGGAAAAATACCAACAAATCTTTACTATAATCTTTACTATTTACTTGTCTAATGCAAAACATAGGCAACATAAAAATGTATCTCATCCAATATGCAATTTTATTATGTTCAAGAAAAATATTTTCAAAACATTTTCAAAGATGCATACATTTTTAAAATTTAAGGTTAAGAAATCCTCCCCAAAAATAATGGATCTTTTGACAGATAAGTCTTACGAATCTGAGAGTATCTAAACCCCATTGCTGCATCACTGTTAAATTTTACTGAGTTCTAGGTCAGAGTCTTTACACTGATTTGATGATGAGGATTTTGAGCCACTAAAAGAACAGCAATTCGAATCAGATCAGATAGTCATAAGATTTGATGATGATGATGATTTTGAGCTACTAAAAGAACCGCGATTCAATATGAGGGAAAACAGTTCTAAGAGTCTGCTAAAGCATGCGCATGCGGTTGGAGGTAAAATATTATTCACTTACTCTTTATGTCATAAGACTAGAAACATAAAATTATTGTAACCCTGCATCAATAGTTCAAGATATGTTCAGGTACAAAATTTTCACAGATCTCAAAAAAAGGTGAATTCTTAATACCCAAAAAAATCGATAATTATAGTTGAAACACAATGACGTGCATAAAAAAATAATGGATCATTTTTCCATCAATTGTTGAACAGATTCAAAAGAAATCAAGAACAATGAGCTCTTCCAATTGCATTACACCAGTTGCATGTTTAATCAATTAACACATGGGTCCCTTCCAAACTGCATATTAAATGTTTAGGCCGCCACATTGCTTACTCGAGATTGAATGACATATACAATTATGAAAAGCTTCACCAATAGGCAAAGAGATGATCTGCTGCTGCTGAAGAACCTTTTATTCTTCGTTATTTTGTTTGGACCGTAACCAAGGGAGAAGACATTCAAAGGATAAAAATATAAATTATGGCAAAGTAGCTTTTAGTTCTTTCCTGTCAGCACCATATGCCTGCAATTGGTTTATTACAAATCGTGTTAAGAGTTCAATAAAACACATCATCTACAAAGTTATATTGATAATTATTAATTGCTTGAATGTATCTTCACCCGCATCTCTTAGGGTCATGTAATCTTAATAGCCCGTAATCCGGACATTTTATTGTGAAGCGGTAACCGGGTGAAAACTAAATCCAACTAAATATCATTCATTCTTCTACAAAATAGAAAGTCTTTCATGTATGATATCAAATATCTGGAGTAATATTCTTCACAAATTTAAGCAAAAGATTATTGAATCTGTCATATATCATCATCTAATATGCATTTGCTTGCTTAAACTCAAATTTATATAAACATCAGGTATTGTTAATGAGATACACAAGAATAATGAGCAGGGGTGGAATAATTTGTACCTCAACCCCTAAGCCTTTAACATATACATTGGTAAATAGATCAGATGGGTCTGGCATATCACTTTCCTGGAAATAAGAAAATAAAACAAAACTCGGATTGTAAAGCATATACAAATATATGGGATACCAAAGTTAGTACGAAAAGAATAAACTGAGATATATATGGTTTTACCTTTGCTTTGGCAATGGCTTCGTCAACTTGTTTTCTCGCTTCCTTTTCAATGTCCTAAAAGAAGAAATTGCACAATATTTAGCAATTGAACTCTAATGGTTAGTAAAGGAAAATGGAAAACGATAGGCACCGCAGCCTGTGAGGGTCCTCTGAAGAAATTGCACTGCTCCTACAGAGTGCAATCTGCTCATTACCCACTTATAACAGATACTCACATGTCCACTTCAGCTCGTCTGTTTTGTCTGTCACCATCTCAATAATTTGCCTGGTATTTCTGCACCTTATTTTTTCTAGTGCAGACCCTTAAAAAACTAAATGATAATAAAACTATTTCTATAATGAATTTAAAAAGTGAAAGTCAGAAAAACTCAATGACTGGTATACAGACACATGAGTATTTTATACAAAATAAAGACATATATCACATTTTACAATAGCTAAGCATGAATTTAAAATTCATCCAATCACCTTTAGTTCCTTTTCGGTAGAAATATCGTGAGCCAATACCAGCTTTCTGACTCTCTCAATTGGATCACGCTCCTATAATCATAATAGTCAAGAAAAAAGAGAAAACATTGAATTCCTCAATTTTATTAAACAAGGATATTTGATGTTGGTGTTAGTGTCTTAGTAATATACCTGTCTAACACCACTGATTTCATCACGCGTGCGGTAGGTGCTGCCAGGATCAGACATGGAGTGGCCGTGGTATCTGTATGTGTCCATTTCAAGAATCTGGACAATATAGCCAAGAGAGAGACAGACCAATCATAACCTAACTGAGAGCAGCCTTTGTTAATTTAATTAAAATAAAACAAATTTCAGTAAATTTAAAATTTAGCTATTTCTATTTCACAGTTAAATGTTCTGAAAAATAGGTTTGTTATACAAAGAACATGCACGTATTGACATATGAGACAAGCTCTCAAAGTAACGAAACAACTAAATTATAAAAATTATGGAAAATATATCAAATAATAAAGGAGGGAATAACCAATTACTATCAACAAATGCCAACAACCAAGCCATGCATCTGACTGACTAAATAAAATTGCATTAACATGGTATTGGTAGATATCGTATATCTGCATCGGACAGAATGACAAGTAATATATGCTCAAATAAAGCACCTGCTTTAAGATTGGAAACTACTAATAGTAAATCATAAGATTGGAGACAAAACAATATTTCACAATGTAACATAACATGTCAAAATCTTATGGGTCATGTCGAGGACCAACTCTCTTAAAAGCTTAAATTGTTGCATGCAAAGTAGTCAAAAACCTAGGCTTGGAAAGGGGGTGTAAAACACATTATTTGTGTGTTCGTTGCTCATAACACTGATTGTAAGATCCTTTTTAAGATACATAAATGTATTTAAGATGTCTACATAAAATGAAATAAATGAGAAAAAAATTACATCAGCAAGCTTTAAAGATGCCACTGGCACTAGAACCAAAACCCAATTGAAACAGTAACACAACAAAGAAGCAGGCAGGAGAACAGTAAAAGCCAAACCAGAGCACCCAGAGAAGATCGAAGCATGTTCTTCCCCTGAAAGACCACCCGGGCCAGCACCAGCAACTGAGCGAGACTCTCAGCACAGCACCAGCAAGAGGAAGAAGAGAAGAGTAGTAGAAATATTAGTGGCCCAGCCAGGGGAAGGACGAAAAGATGAGTGAGAGTGAGAAAGCACCAGTACAGAAGTATGTTTGGAATAAGGTTAGGGCAAAAGAGTAATATAAGAGATCCAAAACCAATTAGGTCATCAGAGTAGACTTCTAAAAAAAGATGGCACATGGCAGTCTTTCATAAGGTACAGCATGATCATACTGAATTCGTGAGCAAGAATGGTAATCCGACATGATCCAACCATATCATGTATTGAGATGGTGAGGACACCAAACTCATACTATCTTGCAATCCCACAATCTAAATGGTGATTTTAACAAACATGGCAACGTGAGACTTTATATTACAAAGACACTCCCTCATACAAGAGGCATTAAAGCTTCAATATGTGTGCATATCTTGTGCTTAAATTAAGCTTCATAGCCAGAAGAATTGGGACTCCAGGGATCAAACTTCTAACAAGTTCGTCAAGGAAAAACTCTAATACGAGTTCAAGGACCATCGTCCTATATGCATGAGATATCCTTGTTCAGAGAGGAGGCACAAGATTTATTTAAAGTACCTAACATGACACGTCAGTTTTTCCGTCCATCCTTGAGTTTATTGCACCCATGTCATGCTTTTAGGTCAGGACAAGCACTGTGGACCAAGTAAAAGTATATATACTCAACTACTTAGGACAACACCTAATAGAAAACATAAATCTCAAGGAAAAATTAAACAGTAATTGAGAGGAAATGTGAATTACTGTATAAAGGATAAACAAATATTCCTAAAATGCCAAGAGCAATGCCCCTACAGAGAATTGGAAACCCTCTACCTAAACAAGCTGTAACTAACTTTCTGGATAATTCCTCTCTCCCACTAACTCACCTATATTAGATTCTCCTCATCTCATACTCGAATGTTTGGCATTTATGATATGCCAGCTGCCACATCATCATTCCCATTCTCTCTCCTATTCTTCCTCACATAGACCATCCACACTTTGGACTTAGTGTTTAGGCCTGTATCTAAATCCACGTCTCTATCGAGACCAGATTGAACGAATAGCTCCCACCTCATAACCGGGTCATTAGAAGAGTAATACATGCTTGTATCCAGAAAAACCAACATATTCCCATCTCATATGCGATAGAATAATCCTTAGTTCAAAGAACTACACTCACCATTGAGTGACTTTCCTATGTTCAACCAAGCATCCAACACTACTCCCAAGAAGAAATTCCTTATAATTGAACTATAAATATATGTCTACATGAGTGCATAGACACTACAAGAGTTAACAAAAACAATTACTATTTCTTCAAGTATAACACAGAAGAAAAAAAAATCAAAATCAGTCTGCAAAAGAATATGCCCAGGTTAGGTGGAAGACAAGTCGGATACTACTGAAGATTAAAGAATGTACATTCCCCAAAGAAGAAAACCGTGTCAACATTTATAAACAATGCCATGTAAATATCAACAAAACTCAATGGACCTATATCTAGTTTGATGAATAATAAACTTTTCTTGATTAACTCCAACAAATATTATGATATGGATAAAATATTTGATGATGAATGTCTGGAGCATTCTGTTAGCCCTAAAACTAATCTAATGACCAATGAAATAACCATGGATGATAACTCCTAATCTAAAGAGCTCTGTCAAGCATTACTAAATGAATTGTCAATCAAGAACGTATGCTAAATAATAATAATAGATTTAGAAATAAATATTCCTACAAATAACTGCAAGTTTACTCACAATGGGGCCCTTCTTCAAAGCATGTTCCTTTGCAAACTTGCAAGCTTGCTTTACTGCAAGAACATCCATGCCATCTACCTGTACAAAGTATATATATATTCATAAAATTTCAAAAGGGTTGTTCAAGAAAATAAAATCTATTTATTTGTTTAGTAGGTATTATATGTAGAGAGGCAGACATGATTACATATTCACACACAGACCACAACCATACCTTAAAAATATCTGCTAAAACAGATAGAAAAGATCTATACATCCAACAAAATCCCACATGCATTATTCTACATAATCAGGCGTGGAAAAAAAAACCTCATACAAAAGGACCCAAACAAATACAATCCAAAAAAGAACCAACAAAAGAACAAGAAAATCAGCATGCATACCACGTCCATCCCTCAAAACCTCATTAGAGATTTACTTTCAAGGCTAGCTAAATTAAGCAATATAAGCATACAATGCACAAAACAAAACATGCACGTATTACATCACATTAAATCATTATAAAAAAATGAGTTTAAAGAAAACATTGCATGAATAGTGGAAAAAATTATTTCAGTAAGAAATGATTGTAATTAGAACCAAGGTTGTCAAACTCCCGAGTCTACTCAAACTCGTAAAGAGTTCATAGACTCGACTCGCAAACTCGTACGAGTCTATGGAAAATCAAAAATGACTTTCAAAAATTTGCAAGTGAAACATATATGTCACACACATATTTTTAAACTTGTGAACATGAGACAAATATGTATAATAGAACACCTATTAACATCAAAATTTAATTTTCCTACTCCATAACTAATTTCTTAACAAAATAATCAAAAATAAAACAAACAAAATAGCAAAGTATGTAGTTAAAGACTTAAGTACTAATTTCTTCTTAATTTATTACTACAACATTAAGTTCCCTTTGATCATACATTTAAATTATGGTCCACAACCACAATTGCAGTCACAATACTGCTGATGTGGTAGTCTCTGCAACAGCATCAAACCGCAATTGCGGCGTGATTTGAAATCAAGCATGCTTCAACCTTAGGTCTCAAACTATAATGCGCATTGCAGCAACTGCAAAGACTACAATCGCAACATCTGCAACCGCATCCTCGGCCGCAATTTAAAACTATGCCTCTACTTAAATTGTTCTAGCTTTATGTCTAAACAAATTTTTAGGTGAGGTGCTTTTATGTCTCTATCATCGTCGTCCACTCACTCTAGCTTTCCTTACAACACTTACACGCATGTTATTCATAATTATTATTAAAAATTAATTAATTAATTAATTTGTAAAAACAGTATCACATTTTCTTGTGAGCAATGCATTATTTCAAAACAGACAAAAACTTGTTTGGCCATAAATCATAAGTTTTCTAAACCATTTCGTCGTGTGCAAATTGATGCATAATGATTGACTTAGTGGATCTGATAGAACAATGTTGCATCACCTTTACACAAGAGAACATACAAGAGAAGCTTCTAAGTAAAACATACAAGAAAACACTTACAAGGCAAAGGATTGATTTATGGCAACAAATGCGAACAAAACAAGAAATTGACAAACGCAACCACACCCTCGATGAAGAGAGGAAGAAACTTTGCCGAAAGAAGAGACTAGGAGAGATACTTTTCTAATTCTCATACAAGCAAAAAAAAGGGTTTTTTTGGGGGGAATTTGGGCCTTTTTGGATTTTTTTTATAAAAAAATTAGTAAAACTTATAGACCCCGTAAACTCACCATAGACTCGTGAGTCTATATGAGTTTATGCGAGTCTATTCGTGCCAACTCGAGTCTATAAAAAAAAAGATTCTATGTGTGGGTCTACTCGTTTTTACTTCCCACACAATCCCAATTTACAGGCACTATTGTGTATGGCGCATCAACTGTAATCTAGCACAAATATATACTTTGAACTAAAAAAAAGAGCAACAGCATTGCATTTTAAAGCCAGCATAAAAATCAAGCATTTCAAAAAGACACCAGAAATTCATTCCTAGAAGATAACAAATAACTATGCATTAACATAACAAAACAATAAAAAGTGATTCAAAAAGTTATGCAACTACCAAAACCAAAACAACAACAATACCACATCACACTAATATCCATAATTTCTTAAGCAATACCTTCAATCCTGGAGCATAATCCCCACGCTTGTAATAAGCAGGACTCTTAGCAGATCTCCACTCAGCAGTTCCCATTCCATCTGTTACACAAACCAAATCAAAACTAAAACAAAAAGCCTAATACATAAACTCAAGAATCAACCAACCAACGGAAAAGCACTCACAATGATTATTCTCACAAACCAAAATCGCAGGAAGATCCCAAAGCGCAGCAATATTAAGCGCCTCAAACAACTGACCCTGATTAGCAGCACCATCCCCATACAAAGAAAAAGTAACATTCGGATCCTTACAATACTTCTGCCCAAAAGCCAACCCAACCCCAAGCGGAACCTGAGCCCCAACAATCCCATGTCCACCATAAAACCCTCCCACCTTCCTATAAAAATGCATCGACCCCCCTTTCCCCTTTGAACACCCGCCGCTCCGCCCCATAAGCTCAGAAAAAATCTCAAACAGCGTCCCCCCGCGGCTCAGAAACGTACAATGATCTCTATAAGCAGTAATCACACAGTCTTTCGAGTTAATCGCGGCTTCCATTCCCACCGCAACGGCCTCCTGCCCATCGTATAGATGGCAGAATCCGCGGATTAGTTTCGCCTTGTAGAGTGAATCTGCGGCGATCTCCATCCGACGCATGAGAACCATGTCGTTGAAAAAGGACATGAGCTCTGAGGATGAGGTTTCGACCGAGCGTGACGGCGCATCGCAGTTGTGGGCGGTGAAGGGGATGGAGGTTTCGATGGTTAGGGTTTCGTTGGAAGAGGAAATGGAACGACGTCGTTGGGAGGATAAGAGGAATGAAGCGGGTTTGAGGAAGTTGGATCCGAATTGAGATGAAGCGAAACGTGATAGAGCCATTGGGATCTGTTGTGAAGGAATTGGGGAAAGTTGGTTGTTAGAAGAGAAGAGAAAGAAGAAAATGATGGGTTAGGTGAGTGGGGGAATAAAGGAAGGGTCAAATTTGGGGTACTAAACTACTAATGGTGCCTATACATGGAAAGAGTAAGGCGTATGAGTTGGTGGCAGAAAATGGGTGAGTGCGCGTGTAAATATCTGTTTAAAGGAATGTATTAATTAAATGGATATAGCCGTCTTTTCATCTCATGAAAAGACAATTCATGTATATTTGCAATGTTGCGTATTGTGTTTTTTTTTTTTTAATTTCTTTTTTTCTATGAACAACATTTATGATGAATTGTTAGTGGAGTTTATTTACTAGTTGTGTAACGACATGGTGAAAGTTTGAATCCATAATATTTTATTAGTTCATCTTTAGAAAGGTTTATTTTAACCATTAAATTATTTCATCAAAAAAAAATTTAAGATGAATTCATACACATCTATAATATAAGAAAATTAGATAATCTGAAAAAGACATCAATGACATTTAATTTAATTTTGTCAGATCTTTAAAATGGAGGTAATTTCAACCAAACTTATAATTTAACCAATTTAGTTGTTATTTTTTGTACTTGGTTTCACTTTATACAATATTTTGAATTGGTTTTGTTAAATCTAATTCCAAACCAAACTAGCATGTTCAATTTTTTGTACATTTATTTCACTTTTGAAATGACTTCACAGCAACTTTTCCTACTTTCTCTCTCACGCTTCATCATCTCTCTCTCTTTCTTTTCTTCCTTCACTCTCACACTCTTTCATTTACGAGAGATCCTTTCTTTTAACTTCACATTCTTCTTCTTTTCTTCTCAATTTCTATAACATCTGACATAGACCCTAAAAAACAACAAATAAGAATCACCACCATATCTATCACACACTTTATCTTCTTCACTAATAGGTAATTTCTCACTTTTAACTTTCTCTCCAACTTACTTTTGATTCATGTTTTTTCAAACGTTCATATGTATTTTTTATTTATTTTTCAATCAAATTTTTAGTGATTTATTTGTATTTAACAAAAACTGGTGAAAAAATCAATTTTTTTATTTGGAGGTAAGTTTTGTGTGAATACGAAAGTTATACTTTATTGGTAAGAAAGTTAAGAAATAAACGTTTGTTTTCCTTGAAAAATGGAAAACAACCGTTGATCTTTCAAATTTAACTTTGGTGACTCACAGGATCGATCAGATTGATCCTAGGACATGTGCTAAAAATTCTTTATTTTGGAAATTTATCTAAGTTACACACTTCAACAGTTTTTGCGGTAAAAGGTTCTAATAAGAAAGTGCTAGAAGATAGAGTTTTTAGAAGGGAATGAATAGAAGTTTTTTAGAAAAGAATTGAGGAAGAAGATAAAGTAAAAGTGCATAGAAGTGAGGAAGGTTGCAAGAAAAAGTAAAGGAAAGCTTTGTAAAGTTAAGCAAAGAAATTAAACTTCATTGGAAAGTAAAGATGGTGTGTTTACATAACGTACATTCTCCTTGATACTCTTTTCTCTACACTCTGATACTTTGAGTAAGTTTAAGAGTGACTTGCACAAATAGTAAATTACAACACCCTAAATTCTATGTCTAGAACTCCTATTTATAATAGTAAAAATAACTAACAATAACCTCCTAAGGCCATCATCTTCTGACACATGTCACAATGCATGAAGTCCTCTGCCCAACGAGTGTCACTTGTCCTTCTTAGTCATCAGAAAGTATAACTACTCCCTCCATTATTTGAATTTCAAATACTTAATTAATCTCCAACCAGCATCTCGGTCGAAGGATAAACTTTTCAAAGTTTCAGAATTTTCTCTAAGTCCCTAAACAACTAACTTCCCTCTTCGAAGATCTCAAGCTTGTCGAAAGCCTTCTTACCTCTAAAAAGACTCTAATATTTTATTTAAATATTTTAATCCATATGAGGCGTCGAATTTGTGAGCTAACAAATTGCCCCCCAAAAATGTCTTTTTCGATCTTTATGTAGAAAAAGAAACATTTTTGACAGCATATAATTCGACGCCGTCGTTTCGATTTTTACAGAGTCATCAGTGTGCTTCGCTCAACTGTGTCTGGGGAGATAAGAGAGAGACCAAGGACAAAAGAAAAAAGTAAGCAAGAAACTGTTCCACTATCCTCGTGCACGTTTCTGACGTCATGGGTCATCATGGCAGATTTCTTGGAACTCACACAAATCACAAATCATCATCATCTCTTTTAGAGCCTAAGAACATCATGGGTATAGGTAGCAACTGCCACCACCCTACTTCTTCATCTCGGGACATACACGTGGCCCATTATCTCTAGCCACTAATTATGCAAAAATTTTGATCTCCCAAAACAACCTATAAATAATCTTTCAGACATTACTTCCAACTTTTCCATTCCTTAGCAAATACTCACGTATCATTTTTCCAGATATCCCTCAACTCTCAAAACCTATTTCTTCCACAACTTTAACAATGGTTGAACACCAAACTCAAAAGAAGAAGGTATAAACCAAAGGGCAAACTGCTACACTGCTCCTTCCTCCTTTCACCACGTTAAGCGGACCAAAAGTAGTGAAGAATCAATAGTTCATCCCTGAACCCTTGTTGGGGGAGAAACGACATATCTATGAATCCCAGGTAATAATTCATGTTACTATTGCAGGAAAACCTTTAGCTATGTCTGGTCCATTATCTCCTTTAGGTCTCAACTATTCCAGCTTAAGTGACTTCTTCCCGTCCTATCGTAAAACCAAACATTTAGGGCAAAAGGACTCTAGCAAGGTTCCTGCTGAAGGTCCTGATAGTTTAGCATTATATCACGTAGACCTCAAATAGCTTAACAAAGGAGCCAGGTTGTTCAGGGCCACCCCCTATTTCAAGGATTTTGAGCTTTACCTAAACTGGTTGACGAAGGTGGAGAAGGTGAAGGCCAATGACTGGAAAGAAACTGGCATCTATGATTTGATAATGATGTCGAAGCTCGGCCCAAATTACTGCCCCCTCATGTTGGCTTCTTATATGTACTTCTGGGACAACACCCATTATACTTTGCATCTCCCATGTGGGATGATGACACCAACACTATTCGATGTAGCCGCTATCATAGGGCTAAAACCTCACGGACTGGTTTACAACCCTAAGATCGATTGTTAAGACACCATAGTATTTTTGAATACCAAATATACTTATACCCATTTTATCAATCGTTACCATAATAAGACCACTAACACCGTCGACACTGAAAAACATATAGCCTTTTTGGCCATGTGGCTGTCTCGTTGTGTTTTTTGTACAAAGTCTTTCCAGGTGGCGCAGAAGTACCTAACTCTGGCCAATCAACTACACCTAAAGCGAAGCATTTGTCTAAGTGAGATGATCCTAGCCAGTCTTTATGAAGCTTTAAGCGAAGGTGCCGGCAAGTTGAAAGACAAGGAAAGCCGTAGGAACCTGCTGCTATGAGGCCCTTTCTGGTTACTCCAACTGTGGCTCAATGCCACTTTTGAAAGCAGCCTCCCAAATAAAAGAGAAGTCGAAGAAGAGTCGCCATCAGTCGCTGAAAGACAAGTCGAATGGCCTTGCTTGGTCCAACTTACCCCAAGCGAAGAAGAGCATACGCTCAGAGCCAACCTTTCGAGTTTCATTCATATGTTCACCAAGCGTCATGAATTTACTCCAAGGATGGCTCCATTTGCAGAAATAAAGTGTGGTCCTGAATGGTTTACCAGATCTTTCCCTCCCTTGCTCAAGAAACAAGAAGAATAGTCGAACTTGATCTAGGAGCGCTTTTTGACACCTCGACTGTTAATCCACAAGCTTAACCTTCTCAAGGGTCAGGCATCTTTGGTGGCATACCAGCCCAACTTGGTGTCACGATAATTTGGGTTGACAAAAACTTTGCCTAAGTGTTTATATGACAAAAAGGCCCACGTTATACTCCCACTTACTGCTTTTAATCCCATTAAATGTTCGACACACCTGGCGCGCCATGCTCACAAGTCTCTTTTTACACCCATTCATTTCGAACCCTCTTACTTCTTCTCCCTAGAGTTCTACAACTGGTGGTCCAGACACTATGCTTCAGAGTTTCTTGATGCTTCGAGCTTTACTCGCTTGATTGACCACGCTTCCGTTGATGTGCAGGAAAAAATCAAGAAAGGTACCTCTACACATATTAAGGAAATTCAAGCCTTCCAGAAGTACTTTGAAACTACCTATCGACCAAATGATGTTAGTCGAACCATCCGTGAGGCTGCTGTCACTTTGAAGGAAATTTTTTCCAAGAAACTAGAGAATTTAAAAATCCCCTCATTTGTTCCTCATGAGAAACGGTATGAGGTTGATTTTAATTTATTTTCCCCAAAGATCCCTCGATTGTCAACTGCTGATTTTGGAGTGGCTCTTGCCCCTCCATTTCTAGATTGGTTCATCTGTGGAGATTCCATAAAAATCTTTCGATCGCAGTCGAAGTCGAAAGCGCAACAGGTGGTTCCGACTAAACATACGCTCGATACTTTCAAAGGGCACCTTCATGTTGGTATCAAAGATGTTCGCATCGAATCCGACATTCTTGAAGGTCACCCCCCTTCGATTTTGGACTCTTTTATCTGAACTTTATTGTTACTAACTGGTAGCGATGTAATTTGTTTTGCAGCTACCCCTAAAAGGAATCCTCTACCATCTAGGACTGAAAGCAAAGTTGAAGGCAAGAAGGTAGTCTTTTATAAGCCTTCATTAGTTTGACTTTCCTGACTGTTTCTAACATTTCTTGTTGTTTAGGTAACTCGCAAACCACCTACCCCTCAAAAGAAATTCAAAAGGGCTTCTGCCCAAATAATTATTGATTCGGAAGATGATGACGAATCTCCTTTAGAAGATTTGCAACTGAAAAAGAGGCGGAAAGTCACGCAAGGTGCAGATACTGTTGGTACCTCGTCTGCCCCATCAACGGTTAAGACTCCAAAACTGACCACTCCTTCTC